ATTTTTACACTCCTAGAGTTGTGGTAAGATAGAGAAATTTGTTTTATTTGTCAACCACACAAATGAATATAAAGAATATTCTCCTCTGCACAGCATATGTACAATTACATCAATCTAAATTGCGCAATCGACATTACGTCCTGCAATATCCAATCAAATAAAAAATGCAATTTTATAGTTGAACTTATTTCTTCGCTTCTTTTTGGTTATACTTTTCTTCATATTTTTTTCTTTTTTTCGATTTTGTGGCATATTCCTTATTTTGTTTTTTCTTTGTGTACATCTTTAATATAATAATATTGTCAAATACTAAGTGGATTAAGTATGTACTTCCTTCCTTTTTTTGTATTGTTCCTAATCTGTAATTGGATTTTTCGACATGTTGAAGTGTAAATAAAAAAATAAATAAATAAAAAGTGCACAAGTCCATACATACACTCCTGATAGGCTTTACTCAAAATTATGATGACAAGTCATTTGCATGAAAATTGGATTCACTGGTGTAATAATCCATAATATCTATTTTAAATAATTTATTTTGATACTTCATGATATGTAAAATTGAAATACAGGAGTTTTACAAGGTGATACGACGCCTTTTAATTTTCACCAGTTGCTTTTATTTTAAATCATTTGTTTTTAACGGTTCTTGAAAGTGATCTAAATTTACAGGTTCCAGGGTCTTATGAAGTCTGTAAATACCACTGGAGATAAAGGAAAGGATGAAGCAGATAAGGCCTGCAACTGCCTCGATGAAGAAAATATCCTAAGATCAATAATTGACTTTTTTCATATGTGCAATATTAAAATTATTATTTTCTTATATTTTATTTACACTTTTCATGAGAATTAAACATTTTCTTTAGTAAATAATTCAAAAATTTATTTAAAAAAATTCATGACGTAATATGTCAAACAAAAGTATATGTCCAAGAAAATCATAAAAAAGTAAACAAGTCCAAATAAATACTACTTTTTTTTTCACTTATAAAGCAACATAAAATGAACATATTGCTAAATCAAAAGTTTTATATTTTTTCTAACAAAATGTGTGTAAAATTTACGCGTTTTACACATATTTTGTTGACAGTATTATGTCAATATATAAAGGCCAAAATTTGAAATGATTCACTTCAAGGTTTTTTCGATTTCAAATTGTTATAAAATGCTTAAAATCAGTTATTGAGAAATATTGTACCATTTTGATGGAAATATTTTTAATTTTTATTCCGATAGCCGTTGGTGTGAATATAGGTAGAGCTTTACAGTAGGAGATTAAAAGTACAGTTATGATGGCATTTATATTTATTTATTTATATTTTGATATCATGTGTGACGTAAAGGAAACACTCTATAGTCATAGAATATATTAAGTAACTGTGCTGTTTTTTTTTGCGAAATACTCACCTTTTTCATTTTCATAGCACTATTTAAACGCATAATTGGAACGCAACCACCTAAACGTCAAAATTCATTGTTAAGATTTCTTTTTCGAAGCCGCGCTTGGAAGTACACAATAGCTATTTGTGTATTAAGAGCGCAAAGTGATATATTGTCACTTTGCGCTCGAATTACAACAGGATTTTTTTCTGCAACCGGTGTTTTTATAAAAATGTTTGGTAAAAATTAATAATTATTGATAACCTTAAATTTGACAGTTCAGATTTCAAAATGTGGGCATCAATTTGCGCTACACATATTTTTGTAGAAATGTTTTCGGCGCAGTGCACGAAATTTCACTAATTTCATCGATTTCCATTGAATATTCACGTAAAGACATTTTTATTATACGAGAGCGATCTTAAAATCACGCGCTGGTCACAAAATTGTCGACATCTGTTAAATACCCTCAATGCTTACTTTTGTGTCAAAAGTCGCAGATACCCTAGACGTTTTTTTGTTATAGTTTCCATGCGTTTATTTTGTCGCTCGGCGAGCGACAAAGTAAAAAAACGCACGCTCCTCGGAAAAGTGCAACTTTGCAGTTTCTTTTGGAAGCGCAAAGTTGCACTTTTCGCCGGTTGTAGAAAAAATTTATTTGTTCACTTGTATTGTTCTCGAAAGCTCAACAGGAGCAATTTCATCACCAAGAATGGATTCATATATACACGAATATCTATAAGATCTGTATATTTCTTTATTTTAATGAACTTAAGTGTTTCTTTTCCCAGCGCCATATTGATTGTTTCCGAAAAAATTATTAATTTTGACTAAAGAGATACCTAAATAAAATATAAGCAAAATATAAAATAATACATTTTTTATTTCGCTCCTCAAGTATCTAAAAATTCAGATAAGTTAATAAATTCTGTTTTTATTCAGAAAATGCATTAGAAATTTTAAATACCAACAAAAACAAAAATATACTTTTAACTTGTTTTAAATATGTATGAAACTTCTATTTACGTCAAACTTTTACTAAAAAATATGCTACTTTTTTTAGCTATAAACGAGATAATAATAGTTCTTAAAATAGAAAGTTAAAGTAACATTGTAAATATGTACGCAAATATGTATATATGTAAATTATTTCTTTGGAATATTTTTGTTGTTCAAATAAAGTCAACATCGACCTCAAGGATATATCACGTACGTTATAAAAAGCTATTTTTTCACGAGTTTACTTCTTTATATTAAAAAGTGGTATGACCTCATACGGATTTATATATAGTCTCAAAAGAAGATTGATTACATATCAAGCTGATATCAGAAATATTTTTTTTTTTTAGTATTTTACATTTTTATTAATTATAGTATATTTTACTAAAACCTAGACCTGAAATAGTTTCCACTTAATGTGGATTCGTCTATCCGAGTTGGCATCATGTGGACAGGGCCGGCGGAGGCTACAATCAAGACCTGCTAAACTCTCCTAAGAGACGCCAGCTAACCAATCATCTAAGAAGATCTGGAAATCTGGCAACTCTGAAATCTCCAACTAGCAAGTCGGGGGTGCGGTGGGTAGAACAGTAGGATATGGGATGTGGAGCGGGGGTGGGCGGTATAACGCACTTTGAATGCTGGACGCAGGTGCTCGTTACTCATTGATAACATTTTTTTCAATTCGCCGAACGGGGGCCGCACTGGGGAGGCTCTGACGCTGCACTGGTTCTGTCAGAAATATGCTCTAGTGTAATCCCAATGGATGGGAGTTCGATCCTCAATATGTCTTTTTTGGACTTGTGGTGTGGAGCCTAGAGGTTATGTCATGGATCCACGAGTTTTTGCAAGTGAACTTATTATTTATTTTTTTAAAAATGACCCAAAAATTGAATATACATTTTATAACGTTCTCAACAAACCCTTCATTTTTGGAAGGTATTTTCGTGCGCAATAAATGAAATTATCGATATCTTCACTTTCACGTCTGCTAGTTAAAAATGCAGTAGCAGCTTTATCCTTCGCGTATTTTCCGCCATTTTTTAATTGCACTAGCAGCAGAATGATCTCTTAAACCTCGTGCGAAAAGATATGCACACCGAATAAGAATTACTTTTCGTTTCTCAATGGAATTTAAAAACATGCACTAACATGACCAATGGAATGTCAATGTTGCACTCAGTGCGTACTAGTTTTACCAATGGAAAACGATATTAGTAGGGCTGTCAAAAATGTTCCGTGGGACAGTGGCGTACGCGAAATTAACTAATACGAGAAATAATAAACTGTTACAATTTATAACAATGTATGTAAAACTTACCCTCTTAACTAGCTTGATGAAGTAGCTTGCTTATCACAAACTGGAGAAGATTTGTAGCCATTTTGCAGCATCAGGTATGTTTCTATGATTGTCTCCATGAGTGATGTTCGCTTTGGTGAAAATATATTCTTATATTTTGAAAACGACCGTTTGACATCTACTGATGTAATACACGCATACGTAAATTAGTTTTTGAACGCACTTAACGGAACTTCCGCCTCCCCTCCCGTTTTTTATTATTACGGACATTTTCAAGTGATTAAATAATGCAATGACCAAAGAAATTTGGTAAATTTTCGCTTTCAGCGTTAAACTGATGGACTTCAACCCCAGATTCCTCTCAGTAGGTGTCAATCCATGCTGTCGCTTGTAGCAGAATTTTATCTTGCACTGTCTCTGCATGCGGAGATTATAATGAGAGAAGAAAGACTCCAACACATCACACCTATTTTTAAGTAATATGCAAATATGTATTAGAGGGTTAGTTATAGTCAAGATTAAATTTTACTAAGCTAACTTACGTTTTTATATTCCTTAAAAACAGGGAGTAGATGTTCCATATAGGCTGATTTAATCAACAACCTTGCTTAAAAAGATATAATATTGCCACACCCCATAAAGAATACATCAGAATATCTATGAAGGATGTCAACTATAAACACATATACTTTTCATTTGAAGATCACAAAACTTTATTCCTATCGAGTTTACATTGTAATATATGGTACGAGGTTATATAATAACCAGAACTAATACCCAAGATGTTCTGTGGATCTAGACGGAATTAAAGGCATTAGAACTTGCATGTACAACCAAGCTGCCCTAATGCCAGAAAAAAATACATTCCCTATTTGGCCTTTGTAGCACAAATTCTGAACACCAAATGATGAAAAAAATTGGTTTCTGCCATATTACATAAGAAAATTCATTTTGAAATACATTATTTTAACAAATTATATTTACTAGATATCCAGTGATTTTATACTGAAACCGGCAATGCGTCATTTTTGAAAAAAATCGAAAAAGTCACATAATTATCTATCTTTAAGAAACATATACTAGAATATTTATGTGGATTAATATTGTGTGATCCCAAAGGGTTAAAATTACGATTTCATCCTTTGTTTGTTCAACATTTTATGCATAATCAAAGCATCATACAAACGTTATGAATAAAAGCTTGTTATAACTTTTATAACCAAGAGCTGTAGTCAGGGAGCCAGACTATTTTCATCTGCACCCCCTACCCCGAATTCTTGAAAATACGATTTTTTCAAAATGGCGGCATGGTTTTTTTTGTGGCTTCGTGGTCGAGTGGTAAGGACACTTGTCTCTCACACTGGAGGCCTGAGTTTGATTCCCGATCGAGGAGCTAGGATTTTTCTAAACCATAAATTAACCCTAGCGTACTCGAACATTGGGTGGGTGTCCATTATCTCTAAATCTGTAGCCCTCTTCCGCCCAACCAATGAAAAAAAGTCAAACACTGTTAGGTTTACAGGCATATTATGCGACATCGACAATCAGCTAATACCTGATATAATTAAAAGAGTTTATGGATACATAGGGTATTCCTGTATGGCTCGACAAAATGTAACAAGACAAACCACCTTCGACTTTGCGTTATAATATCATAATGTCAAGGCACAGACTTATCTTAGTTAATTGATACCAAAGAATAGATTTCTCTTCAATTCCATAATTGAGAAAACATAATAAAACCTATTAAATGAAGTAAATTACCAGGCACATAATTGGCAAGGAATAAAAAATATTCAGAGCTATGGAACAGGTTGGCTAGAAAGCGATGAATTACCTTGGTACTTACCAGAGAAAATCCTAGCGTCATATTCTCGATGTGGCAGAGCCACAACTAATATATAGTACAGAAGAGGAGGAAGAGCAAGAGGAAGACGAAGGGGAAGAAGAAGGAACTGTTCTAGCAGTACAGTGACTTCGAAGCGGAGAACGAAGAATACAACAAGAAGGTGAATAAAATGATTACGTTTTGGTTTTTTTACATACTAATTAACTGTTTTTGTTAAATTTAAATAAAAAATATATGTACATATATTAATTTAATTGCCTTTTGGAACCGTAAGTTGTATGGAAATAATACACAGTGTGTCGGTAAAGTATAGAATAAATTCATTATTTCTTAATCCAAAGACATTTACAAAAAGTCCTCGACACGTCGATTTTTTCTAAATATATTTGGTTTAAGAAATGGAATTTATTCCATACTTTACGGACACACGATATATAAGAACAAAAATGATGATATATTAAAAGACATTTATTTTCGGTAGCAAGGCCAGTTTCTGTTTTTGGAAACATCTCTGAATTAATTTGGCTTCGCTATACAGCATGTGCTGATCAACTCGAACATGCGCTAAAGGAAAGCAAATGATGTACGTGTAGATTTTGTAGAGGTATACACATGAAACAACTTTATAAGTTGTGACTTAATCGAATTAAAGACTGTTTTGCCATAAGTTAATTGATACGAAGTCGATATTTCATATAAGTAAGCCTCGGAATGTAGAAGTTATTGATTTATTAGCTAGTTCTTCAAAGATAAAATATTAAGAATATTAAAGGAAAGAAGGCCATTTTTATTTAGTTACTCGATGTAAATTGATTTTAGTGGGATATTTTTCCTTCTTAATATTTCTTGAATTACTTTTACATTGAATTTAATTTCTATTTCTATAAGCCATTACTTTACATACTTGAATGTACTAGCTGTGTGTAAAATTTAATATAAGTGAAATACAAAGGGTACGAAACAATGATGATATTAAATGGCATTTCAAAGACGACACTCGAACAGATGACGCCCTGTAATTAATGAGTTCTTGGTTGACACTATCACATCACTGAAGGGCAATTTAACCCCTTCTGCGTAGTCTACACACTAACAAATCAGAACGAAAACCTATTTTAAGACTATGCGCCATCAAAGTTCTACCGAATTCGAAATATGAAGACGAATTTACTGGAACTGTCTTTACACCACTTCATCAATTCACATCAAACGAAATCTTGTCTAGCATATTTGACTAACAATTTGCAATTCTGTTTATTTAAAGATAATCATCAGAACAAAAATTAGACGTCATTTTGCTTCATTTATTCTTCCACGTTATTATTTTACATCGTTACGTTGGAACTAATTTAAAGATTTAAATTTAATAATTCTGTTGTTTTGCATAACGAATAATTTGTATTTAAGGACGTATATATTGATCCTTTAGTTAGTAGTTTATAGTCGTCACACAAAGGATTCTATTTTAATTAATAAATATGTCAATTTTCAGTCATTCTATATTCTCTTTCAAACAGGTATTCGAATCAAATGATCTTAAAACTCTCTTAGGTACTATTCGATGGGTCTTAACCACCTACCAAACCGATTTCAATTAAACATTTTTCTTATTGAAATGTGAAATAAATTATTTTTATTTTTCTATACTCATTTAGAAACATAGAAATACAAACAGAATGCCAAATGCACGATATCCACTATTTGAAGTATTCAGTAAATTCATAATAAATAAGAATATTCTGTTGTCAGTACCTATATTAAGTATATTGAGTATGTAGCTAATAAGTAGAGTTGGCATTTCGATCCGCAAATCATGGGCAGTGCCAGGTAGAGAAATACCCAAGTACGTATGCGAGACTTGTTTACTATTTTAGTCTACTGTTATGCGTCAAGGTGTCAATAACGTAATTTAGTTCTCTCCGTTGTATTGTTGACAATTTTATTTTTTGTATTTTATTCTTGACATTAATTTAATAATAAAGTATGTCAGACCTGCCCAAGGGTAAAAAACGGCCATACGCTGACAGAGTGAATAAATTTATCAGTAAATTCCCGAATTTATTCTACAATGGTGCTATAATAATTTGTAAGGTGTGCGAGACTGACCTGATGTGCTGGGACAAACGTGATTGTAAACATCACGTAAATTCTGTGCAACATAAAACTAAAAAAAATGGCGTGCCTTCGACAACACAGTTTATATTCGATTTACTCTTTATGCTGATTGCCTGTGATTTTCCGCTGCACATACTCGATAAACAACCATTTCAGGAGTTCTGGAATAAATACAATCACAAGGTGACGTTACCAAGTCGCACAACGTTGCGTAACTATGTACCAACTGTAAACGAAGACATTGTAAATAAGATCAAATGTGTACTAAAAAATACACGGCTGTGGTTATGTGTTGACGAGACGACAGATTGTAAAAGAAATTCTAATGTAAATGTTACAGTATATGTACTGGACCCTCTTAAACCAACATTTCAATTGTTACTAGCTAGCAAAAGACTGAGTGTACTCGCGAAACAATTACGCGGGTGGTGCTAGAGACGTTAAAAAAATTTTACCTGTCAAAGAGTCAAATGTTGATGTTTGTGACCGATGGTTGCGCAACAATGCATTTAGTAGGCCGTTCTCTTCAAGAACTTGTTACGTGTAAAGTGCATGCTTTACACCTTGTGGCAGAAACTATTCGACAAGGTTTTCCAGACCTAGATGCATTAATAGCAAGTACTAAAGAAGTGTTTCTTAAATCTTCTAAGCGTCTTCGCCCATTTCATAGCAAGTGTCCCGGTATTCTTGAACCACCACAGCCGATTCTTACATGTTGGGGAACATGGTTGGAGGCAGCATTTTATTATGCAGTGAATATTTACAACAAATGAAAGTTGTGATACTACAATTCAATCCAGACGAGGCTGCAGCTATTAAGGAAAGCCAGAGAAAAATCGAAGATGTTCCTGTTGAAACAGCTTTAAAAACTATTCACAAGGACTATAAAGGATTACATGACGCCATACAAAACAGTGCGTTGTCGTTAGCAGAGTCACTGCAAATAGTGGACTAAGTAAATCGACTGCTACACTCTATAGGTGCGCAAAAAATGAGCCCGTTGGAGAAAAGTTCGCTCGTGTATTAAAGACACTGGTGTTACCAGATTAAGATAAATTTGTGACGGTACTGATGATGCATCTGCAGATCCGTTAAGTTAGTTCAAAGAAGTATGCTTGTATTACATCAGTAGATGTTGAACGGTCGTTCTCAAAATATAAGCATATTTTTTCACCACGTCGAACATTACTCTCGGAGACAACCATAGAAACATACATGATGCTGCAAAATTTTTTACACATCTTTTTCAGTTTGTGATAACCAAATTAGTTAAGAGGGTAAGTTGTGCATACATTGTTATACATTGTAACAGTTTATTGCTTTTATTACTAGTTAATTTCTTTTCTTACACTTATTATGGTGCGTACGCCTATATTCTGCGGCGCATTTTTGCCAACTCTACTAATAAGTTACTCTCAACTCACATAATATAATTTTAATATATGAATTGAATATACCTAAATAAAATATTAATAAATGTTCAGGAGGATGTTCACTAGTAATGTCCCTAGTGCTTGAATTATATCCGAAAATTTTTTCGAGGTCTCGAATATTGTATAAATTATCCCAAATCGTAGACGAGGGATAATTTTCTTACAACATTCTTGACCAAGAAAAAAATTTAGGACTATACCTCAAGCATGTTCGGTAACAAAATTTCACACATTAATAAAATTGAGAATAATTTCTGACATTTTAATTTTAGTTATAAAACAATAGAAAATAGATTAAGAATAGGCTAATTTTTTTTTAATTAAATTTGAACTACTATGATGGTGGATCGTTTAATTTTTATCACATATTATAATGTGTAGGTATTTTACAGTCTATTTTTCAATAATCTTTACTGAAAAACAGAGTGTAAAATACCTACAATTAGTACCTTCCTTAAACAGACCAAACGGCAATGGAATAACACCACTTGTAGTTATTGTGCTTTGAAAACAGGCGGCCATTTCCTCTTTTTTACTGAGATTGGTTTTTCACATATTCTACAAAACATCTAGTAGAATAAACTACGAACTATTCTTACTGGATGAATGATAATATCCAGTGATCGGATGTAGGATCACAGTTTCATTAATCAGATCTTGCAATCTGTGGCATTTCCTCAAAGAGAGTTATCCAGTTCATCACGATAATCGACATTTGTAATGTAACAAAAAAGGAATTTAAAAGACTTTGATGTTGCGGGTACTTTGTTGGTCAGTAAGGTCACCAGTCCTTTTTCTAACCAAACATGTAACAGATCAACAAATGGATCATTTATCTCAACCTTGCATGAACTTGGTGTAAATTCGGTATCATATCCAAGAAATCTGGGTTGGATCCCTTGGAGAGAATAAACAATTTATTTGAAAGTATTTCCACCGAGTTAACGAATTTATAAAATTGCGTTATTGTTCCTGTAGACTTATGAAATTGTAATAATT